TCTATCCCCTATACCCCAAATCCCCACTCCCCATACCTTACACAAACCCATCTCCCTCTAGCACTCGCTGCTAACTTATTCATCAATCGCCCAAAAGGTCCTTGAAATCTCAATTATTTTGCCCTCAAAATCTCCTCTAACTCGATTTGTAAGCCCTAATAGTTCAGAAATGCCGTTATTTTCGGAAGATTCAAGCGCTATTAGGTCCAGATTTAGGTCACAACAAGATCACTCTTCTACAGCAACTCCAATGGATACGCCGGCTTCAATGTCATTGTCGTCAGTAAAGAGCACTCCTAATCTCAGACTCTTCAAGTCAGCTGCTAAGGACAGGATCGACACTTCGCACAGCAAGGATATGTTGGAGTCTCAAAACCGGAGCTTTGAGTTCCACGAAGATCCTTCATTTTGGAAAGAGCACAATGTCCAGGTAATTATTCTGTTTTTTTTCCCTTCATTTTTTTGCTCGTTTCTTAGAAAAGTTTTTAAGTTTTATATGCACTGACCTTGTAAAAGTTTTTACACAGTCAGGTTACTTAATAGGTAGTAATTATTATTGATAAATCTATTTGATAACATTCATTTGTAATCTAGAATAAATGGCAAGTAACCTACTATGACTTGTTAAAATACACTGGTAGTGTAAAAAAATTCAAAAAATCAAGTGATTATTTGGAGTGAAAAATACAGGAAAAGGTGGATTATTTGGAATGAATAAATGAAAAATAATTGGTTGAAAATGCTGTAAAGTGAGTTGCTAACAATCTCCCTGGCAGACCATACAGTAGTTTTTGGTTATATGTTACTGAATTGGGATAAAACTTAAATTACTCATGAGATAGGTTTATTCTGTTTGACTGATTTATGCAGGTTATTATAAGAATACGCCCGTTGAGTAACTCCGAGATATCTTTACAAGGGCATTCTAAATGTGTAAGACAAGAAAGCTCTCAGACCATCACTTGGACAGGACACCCAGAATCACGTTTTACATTTGATATGGTTGCTGATGAGAATGTTACTCAGGTTTGTTTTTCTTGATTATTAGTCTTTCCTTTGTCCTGTATCTTCGATGTGGTCTGTTCTTATATCTTTAGGTTAACAGGAGATGCTCTTTAAAGCTGCTGGAGTACCCATGGTGGAAAACTGTGTGGGAGGCTACAATAGTTGTATGTTTGCCTATGGACAAGTATGTTGCTCAATAATAGCTTAAGCTTTCAAGTATCTGCTTTCAGCAATACTTTCCAATTTTCATGTCGCAATGTGAAGAAGACTTGGACTTTATACTGGTTTTGTATTTAGCAACTCTATGTCTTTCTGTACAGACTGGAAGTGGAAAAACACACACCATGCTTGGAGATATTGAAGGAGGCACCCGAAGACATAGTGCAGATTGTGGGATGACACCTAGGGTATTTGAGTACATGTTTTCAAGAATTCAAAAGGTACAAGTGAATATTTGCATTAGTAATGAACAACTATTAACCATGTGGTATATACTGTTAAAACATCAAAAGTTTATACAATACGCCGCATTGTGGAGAACCAGTACCACAGTTGACTTATTTGAAACTAAGTTGTTTTGTTTTTGATATAGTATTGGCAACAAACTTCAATCTTCTCTGGAAGGGTCAAATGTCACCCAATACTGGGTATAAGTAGTGGATATGAGTGTGGAATACATATATGTCCAATGTCTAGGTGTTTGTTTCTTTGCTTTTCGCTGTTCCTGTTTTCTTGTGGAAAATAAGTACCTCTATATATGTTGGTTTGGGTAACATAGATGTACCTTAGATCACTTCTTGCGTTAATTTAAAGCAAGACTTCTTGATTGGAATAGAAGAGTTGGGATGAAGTTTTCTATTATAAGGCTGATCTTATATTTTTAATTTCAAGTTGATGATTTCTGTATTTTGGTTCAGGAAAGGGAGGCACGCAGGGAGGAAAATATAAAGTTCACTTGTAGATGCTCTTTCTTAGAAATATACAACGAGCAAATTCTTGACCTTTTGGATCCTTCCTCAGTCAACTTGCAGGTATTGATTTCAATTGCTAACATTTCGTCCAATTTGCAATTTAGTGAAGTCTTGTTGAAATAAACATGAAATCATTTCTGGGACAATGTATTGTTTTCTATTATTCATCATTTTTAACATGGTGAAATAGTGTCCTACCTTTTTTGAGGACCTTGAAACTATTGAGTACAAGGGTACGCGCTAATTGCTCGCAATCCTGTTCCAGAAGGCTAAATTAAGTACTCCACCAGGGTTCATTAAATTAGGTGTGCAACTGAGGACTAATCCGTGCTTAAGAAAGGCTTGCAACATATAACTAGTATAATTATTTCATTCCTCATTTCTAAATGCAGCCAACAAATTGCTTTAACAAAAGTGAATGTATTGCTTGATCTAAAAGTTGCAAACTGCATTACCAAGCGGAAGAATGCAAGTGAAGATTTTGCTTGTATTGTACAGATTAGGGAAGATACTAAAAAGGGGATTCATGTAGAAGATCTCAAAGAAGTGGAAGTTACGAGTGCTCGAGATGTGATGCAGCAGCTTCTTCAGGTATATTCCTCACTCCTAATTGAATCAATTATTATTTTGGGTTGTGAATTCTCTGGTTTAAACTCCATTAAAGACCAAGGACAAGAAGCTGTTGATAGTTTTTGAGGTGGTTACAAATTCACCTGCACGGCTGAAGATTTTGAAGATAGTAATATGAGTTCCTCATAGCTGATCAAGAATACCATCCTTAACAGGCAGTTTTAACAATTTATGTTTCTAAATGTGCACATATTTAACATGAAGAGTGAGACGGTTGACCGGTTGTATCTGTTCTTTGTTACTAGCAAGTGAATTGCTGGCAATGTTAAAGATAGCTTGTTCCAAAGTTAAAATACTGTCTTTTGTTTATATACTGAAGAGAGTTGTTCCATCTTTTCTATAGCTTTTCAAACCATTCACATTCACTTTCCTATAAATAAGTGCGGTATCTTGCTAAAATAGTGATGAGATGTTTGTATTGTTTCCTGGTTTAACATGCTACAATCCTATCATTAGTTACTGCATATAGAAGTTGTATGATCAATACTGTTATCACTATCAGTAGATCTGTGTATGGTTTTCCTAAAAGCCTAGAAGGTGCTACTGTAATATTTACAATGTATTTGGGAAGTCTACGAAGTATATCATATCTGGTTTTGACCTAGTTTTCTTAATCTGTCACTGATGACTTTTAGGTTAGTCTAGCTACTAACTTCTGTGGGCACTGATGATAAAAAATAACGGTATATTGGATATACTGTAATACTACAACTCAAATTGTGCAAAATTTTGTCTTTCTTCGTCTTACATACCTAAATTTTCCTGTAAACTTATCGATGGGTAAATAAATGTATAAATGATAAGGTGAAAAAGAGCATACAGAGCGCACTACATCTTCTAATTTTTTGATCAAAGCATTGACACTAACTTCCTTATAGCTAAACTTGGCCAAGCTTCATTAGAGTAGGGTCAGATTGTCTTGTGATACCAGATTAATGTGACACAACCTTATCCTTTATTAATTTAACCTAGAAAAGCACAAATAAAATGAAATAAATTGCTCGAAAAAAGTAAAACCACCAATTTCTTGTTAGTTATGGTTTTGACGTTCATAATGTTGTTTACATTTCAGGGTGCTGCAAACAGAAAGGTAGCTGCAACCAACATGAATCGTGCTAGTAGCCGTTCACACAGTGTTTTTACATGTGTGATAGAGAGCAAAGTAAGTGCTTAGCTTCAGCTCGTCAGAATTAGTCTTTTCATACATATGCCTCCATACCGGTACATAAATTTACACATTGATCTGCAGTGGGAATCTCAAGGAGTAACTCACCACCGGTTTGCTCGTCTTAACCTTGTCGATTTGGCAGGCTCTGAAAGGTAAAAGGAGAATAATTCTGAAAAACAGAGAAGATAATTGATGTTTAAACTTTCTTCTAACTGCACTTGTTAAATCACAGGCAGAAAAGCTCAGGAGCTGAAGGTGAACGTCTAAAGGAAGCTACTAACATTAACAAATCTCTTTCAACATTGGGGTAAATATCATGTTTTCATCCTATTCATTTATGATTCTTCTGTTCTTGTTTTGTCTTTCTACAAGTACACTACTGATCTGGTTCTCTGCTGTGCAGATTAGTGATTATGAACTTGGTCAGCATATCTAATGGAAAGTCACAACATGTTCCTTACCGAGATTCAAAGCTCACATTTCTACTCCAGGTTGAATAGGTTTACCTTAGCTTTCAAAGGAAAATCAATTGTTTTCTCTATGAGTTAATCTGCTTGAAAGAATACATCTAGTTGATTCAGTTAGTCCAGAAATATTCTCATTTTTAATATGTTTTCGTTATGAGGAGCTGTAATATAGTTTTCTTACTGTTTGGCACTCAAAAGAGATATTACTTTTCTGTTTGGGCGAATTTTTTTTGTCCTCATGTTTTCTGTGCTCTGCACTGATAAATGATTAATAACTACAAAATGAAAATAGCTATTCTCTTTTCATCTAAGAAAGTGATTCATTTGCATTTTCTCTGCTTTTAGGCTAGTAGGTTTAAGTGAAAGTAACCTTTTCTAGCCTCTTCATACTTTCTTAACATGGAAAACATAGTTTATTTTAATGCTCCGAAGATTGTCTTCCTGCTACATTTTTTTGGACCTACTGCAGAATATCTAAAAGTTTTCTGTTGAATTGACATTATATTTCTTTCTTCTTTTCAGGATTCACTGGGAGGGAATGCAAAAACATGTATAGTTGCAAATATTAGTCCTTCCAGCTGGTATGTACTTAAGATCAAAACCCTAATAAGTGTTGTAATTTTTAAGCAAGTGAGTTTACAATATATAACACATGAAACTCTTGCAGCTGTTCATTGGAGACTCTAAGCACATTGAAGTTTGCTCAACGTGCCAAATTCATCAAAAATCATGTATGCTACTCTTGGACACTGGTGGCTTTCTTATGGTCATTTCACTAGCAAATAACCTGATCATATGTGCTTTCAATTTCTTCCCCCCTATGAAATCACCTAATAATAGAATTTTCCTTTTCATTTGGTATTTAAATAAAATAATAAACATGCAGCTATCAGCAAAAGAATATTTGAAAGTTAAATGCTAGTATCCTCGATATGCCACTTTATCTAACGTGTGCGATACTGCAATTCAAGTACCTTATGCATAGTATTAGAAATTTAGGTTCATAGTCTCCCAGATGCTACAAGTTATAGGGGCACAGATTACTTTCTTGATGCAAAGACATTTTGTTTTCTCATTTTTCTCTGTGTAGGAGATTTTAAAATTTTTACTTTTACGACATTGATGAAGATATGTGCTTTTAGTTCTTACTTCCCTATAATCGATAAAGGCTCAACCATTTTCCTTTTTTCCCTGATGACTATTTACTTTCCCAGGCTGTCGTAAATGAAGATGCTTCTGGAGACGTTCTTGCAATGAGGATACAAATTCAAAATCTGAAGGTATTTTTTTAATGTTCTTACTTTTTTAGCTTGATTCAAGCAGCTTGAAATCCATCCTCCCCTGCCCAAAAGGGAAAAAAAAAGGAAAAGACAAAACCCTCCAAAAGGAAGAAGAACATGAGACCAAGAGAATTTTGTACCTCGGTAATTTATACAAACCCTGAGAGAAAACCTTGATTGATGGACAAATGACAACCAGGGAGAAGTTTAATTGATTGACAAATGACAATAATACAACAACAACAACAACAAACCTAGTGTATTCCCTTCCCACAAGTGGGGTCTGGGGAGGGTAGTGTGTACGCAGATCTTATCCCAACCTTTCAGAAGGCAGAGAGGCTGTTTCCGGTAGACTCTCGGCTCCGGAAAAATAAAGGGAAGAGACAATGACAAGCAAACCAATCGGAAAACCAAGCGAAAACACAAACTAACACTAAGTAGTGCAATTAGAATCCCGAAGCTGGGGAGGGTAGTGTGTACGCAGATCTTATCCCAACCTTTCAGAAGGCAGAGAGGCTGTTTCCGGTAGACTCTCGGCTCCGGAAAAATAAAGGGAAAAGCCAATGACAAGCAAACCAATAGGAAAACCAAGCGAAAACACAAACTAACACTAAGTAGTGCAATTAGAAACCCGAAGCAAAGGCAACAAGTAATACCAGAAGTCTAGGCATACAAATATTATCTTGTGCATGTCCCGCGACATTCTTTTAGATGTGTTCGTGTGTGACATGATAGCTGTTTATGCCACTAGTTGCAATTAGCTGTTTATGCCACTAGGTTATGCAAGTTATTCAGAAGTCTAGGCATACGAATATAATGAGGTTTTACATCACATAGGTAGACAGAACTCCCTTGAATAACTTGCATAACCTTCTGGCTTTTATCCAATATGTATCTTAGAAGTAAAATTAAATATGCATGTTAATGTTCCCCTTCTCTGTGTTAATAATTTTCAGATTTAGTTACTTATACTGGTGAAAGTTATATGTCTATTTTATGGCAGAAGTATTGGCACTACTGCTTTTATTTAGTCACTAATCACAATATGTCTTGTCATCTGCTTTTCCGGTACAACAGTAATATGATAGGGATTATAAAAGTTTTTCCAATGATCTGTGCTCTTAATGGCCATATTCTAAATGTTGATGTGCCTAATCACTTTATTTTACCTTTCAGAAAGAAGTAGCACGTCTTAGGAGTATGGTTGATGGAGGAGCTGAAAACCATGAAAATGATGCTTGGACTGTTGCTTTTCCAGGATCGCCTGCAACTGTTAGATGGGAAGGGCTTCATGGATTATCTAGTCCGCTTACATCAGATAAACGGATGTCTAAGGTAGGTGTATCTTAACTTGGCAATGAGGAAAAATCTCTTCCATTATTGGCACTGAGAGGTTAAGTCTCTTGTAATTTCAGAAAAAAGACTATGAAGTTGCCCTTATTGGAGCTTTTAGGAGGGAGAAGGATAAAGACATTGCATTACAAGCATTAACTGCTGAAAATCAGGCAGCGATGCAGCTGGTATGTTTTACGGAGGTTTTTATTACTTGAGTTGCCATTTTATATATTCGTAGGTGTCAAAAAGTCTTACAATGAGGCCAGAGGGTCCAAGTAAACATCTAATTCAGAACTGTTACAAAAGCACAAATAGGACTTAATTGACAAATCTATCCTTGAAATATCGTTTATCTGGAATCCGTTTCTTGGACATAATCTTTTAGGTATATTAGGTACTCCATCTCCTCTTTGCTAAGTTGATTAGAATATATATACCTCGGGAAAGTAAATGGAAATAAAAGAGATACAGAATGATCTGAATTTTATATGGAGAAACTAATTTTGTAATGTTGTGGGTAATCAGATCAAACAAAGAGAAGCTGAGATACAGGGTTTGAAGATGAGACTAAGGTTTCGAGAAGCTTCAATAAAAAGGCTCGAATCAGTTGCTTCAGGAAAGATATCTGCCGAGATGCACTTGCTAAAGGAGAAAGAGGAGCATTTGAAGGAAATAGAGGTCTTACGGAATCAGGTTGATCGCAACCAAGAAGTTACAAGATTTGCTATGGAGAATTTACAGCTAAAAGAAGAGATCGGAAGGCATGTTATTTATGTTCTCTTTTAGTTATCGTAGATGCACATGCACTCCTCCAACTTGGCTCCTTTCTTTGTCTGAATCTTGGAGATAAAACGAAAATCTTTTAGTTATATTAGGTAGTCCATGTCGACTTGCTTAGCAATGCTTTTCTTGGCTCCTTTATTTGTCTGAATGTTACTTAGAAATGCTTTTCTTGAGCCGAGGATCTATTGGAAATAACCTCTCTACCCCCACAGGGTAAGGGTAAGGTCTGCATACACATTATCCTACCCAGACCCCACTTGTGGGAATACATTAGGTATGTTGTTGTTAGGTAGTCCATGTCTCACTAGTTTGATAATCTCAATTGTTTCTAATGCAGATTGAAGTCATTTTATGAGGAAGGTGAGCGAGAAAGAATGAATGAACAGATTGCGATGCTGCAGGATAAGGTTAAATGACTGCTTCCTCTAAGAAATTCAATTGGTCAATCTCTTTTTTCAAGTATGAGAATAGACACGATCATCATGTCTTTCTACTTTTCTTTTTGTTATATACAACTGATCTTTAGTCATACAACATCACATTTTAATTCCAAAGACAACAACATATTGCATCTTTATGTCTCATGTTTATACTAAAGTACCTAGCAATTGCATCTTAGTTTTTTTGTTCTTGATCAGCATCTGGTGATCTTCCCGTCAAATACCAAAGTTGTTTGCGCGCCTAATGGTTCTCTCTTTGATATGCAGTTGCTAGAAGCACTTGACTGGAAACTTATGCATGAATCTTGTCCTGCAACCGTTCAGGTCGTCCTCCAAACTTACTTAGGATTTTCACTACTTGTGTTTCACTATAGTTTGTACAACCCCTGTTAAACTATAGTTTATTCTCTACTTGTGTTACAGAAGGGAAGTTCTGAGCTTGGGATGCATATTGAGAATGATCTGAACCTGCTAACATCTTGTCAGGTATGACATATACTCTAGAGTAGTTAATATTTACATCTATGTTTTAATCGCTGGACCATTTGTGCTCAATAACTGGAGACACTAGTTACTTTTATCTGACAAATAGAAATACTGCAATTAGTACCTTTTTTTTTTTTGAAAATGTATCAATTAAGAAAAGTGGGGTTATCATTTTTTAATCGCTCGGCCATGTTTCTTCTCGCAAGTAAAACAAACTTTGAATCCGAATGAAATCCTGGAGACTAAATTCATTTGGTATATACCAGTAAAGAAAATGGTGCAGTCATTTAGGATGGAGTGTGTGCTGAAATATTTGCTTTATTTTATTCCTTTTGCCACACTATAGCCGGCTTCACCTTGGCGTACATCAATCAATGAGGAGAATGAGTTCCTCCGTGTCCAGGTAATATATATTTTCACCTTGAAAAATGAACGAGCTTAAAATAGTATAAATGATTTTAGTGGTTATTTTGTAGGTAGTTTGTCTGCTAACAACATATATTTAACTTTCAGGCAATTCAGAACCAAGCAGAACTGGACGCACTGCATAGAAAACTTGATTTTTGTGTTGAAGAGAGAGAAAAATTGGAAAGGTATAGCACTGCAATTCTTGTAATGTGATCAGTGTTTCTTATCTTTCTCCATCATCATCTCTTAGGGTGTTCATAATTGGTGGATCCCCTTCGAAAAGACATAAACTGCTTCTACACACCTGTTCAATATCGAATATTCAATCTTTGTCATATCTGTTCCACATTCAAACTATTAATTTTGATTCGTCGACTTTAATCTGGTTTTCAAAATTTATTCACTGTTCATACAGGCAATTGAATGACTTGGAAAAAGAGCTAGAATTTGAGAGATCATCTAAAGCAGTTCTGGTGGAAGAATCAAAGAAGGGTCAAAATGAGCTGCCTTCTGCTGCAAATGATCAGATGCCCGCTATCGCTGTCGGTGATCAGGCAGAGCTAAAAACAATTGTTGATGCTATTGCAGCAGCAAGCCAAAGAGAAGCAGAAGCTCATGAAACTGCAATTTCCTTGTCTAAGGAAAATGATGAACTGAGGGTGAAGCTCAAAGTCTTAATTGAGGACAATAACAAACTGATTGAACTGTATGAGCAAGCAGTAGCAGAAAAGAACAATGAGAATGATCCAAGTCAGAACTGCCAACAAAAGAGTGTTCCATCAGGGGAACATGCTTTAGAGAATCATTCTTTAGATGACAATGTTCGATCAGGGGATTTAGAAACTTTAGAGGAGGATGGCTTGCACGAGGTAGATGTACATGATGAATACAGCCAATGTTCTTTTCTTCCAGAGAAAAACAATATTTCTGACTCAGAAGAACTATCCTGCTGCAAGACTACAGAGATGATAGAGAAAAAACCTTCAGAACCAAATGAAGAAAATACTTTTGAAACTTTGGACAAAGCTGATTACATGATGGTGGAAACTGTTTTTCCTGAATCAACCGCAGAAGCTAGTACATATGAGCCTCCCGAGGATCCTTGTGCCTCCAATCTGAAGCAGGATGTTGAGATGGAAGACCAGTCATCAAATGTTTTGCGGAAACACGTACCAGAAGAGCTAAGTTTGGTGAGAAAGAAGCTTGAAGAAGCACAGGAAAAGCTTCTAAAATCTGCTAACACCATAAGCATGTTTGGTTCACTAGAGAGGGCAATTGTAGAGGTTGATGAGCTTACGGGAGAAATTGAAAGACTCGAAGAGAGTATTGAAGTGAAAAAACAAGGATACACATCGTTCAAGCTTCAGTCTTCACAAATGCTTGAAAAGAAAGTTTTGCTCGATAAAAAGCTATCAGCACTAAGATTCTCACTATCAAGCTTTTCCTCATCAGTTTGCTTCTTTGAACAACGGGAAGCTCAAGCAAGAGCAAGATTAGATGCTTCAAATACTAGTCTCAACCAAAAGAGAGCAAAACTGGCTCATCTTCAAGCATCTAAAGCTGAGTTCCTGGATGCACAGGTGCAGACTAAACAGTCCGAATCTGAATTAAGAAACATCTTAGCAGACTTGAAATCAAGATTGGAAGAGGAGAATCGAAGGCTGGAAAGTGACAGGGTTCTCTTTCCCATAGATAACATTGAGAAACCTGATATCCAATTGCCAGAAAGGAATTGGCAGTTGAGTGGCAAAGCTACTGAATTACTTAAGTCTGAGGAAGAAAAAACAAAGATACAAAATCAAATAAAGCAGATTAAGGAAAATTTGGGGATGAAGAAAAAGGAAACTGAAGAGTTGAACGTGAAAATGCTGAAGTCGGAGAGTGAAATTGAGGCTATTGAAAAGGAGATACAGAATGGTTTGCAGTTGGTAGAGGAGATGGGTAACAAGCTTCAAAGTGTCATCCGGGAGAAGGAGATGATCTTGGAAATGAAAGAGGACGGGAAGCATGAGTTTGAGAGCATGATTCTTGAGTACCATGAAAGTATGTTCGAAGCCTCGTTGAAGGAGGAAGAGTTGCAGATTCTGGATGAAGCATTGCACTTGGAAATGAAAAAAATAGAAGATTTACAAAGAGCTAAGGCTCTTGCCACGACCAGAAAAAGTCAGTTGCTGAATGCATTTTCATGCCAATCATGCTCTTTTTCCGACAAGGTAGAGGAGGATCTACATGATATACGAAGGTCAGTGCTTGAGCTGAACCCGTTGCTTGGACTTGACAACTAGCATCTTCTCTTTGCATGCTGCCCTCATGTATTGCCAATGTAATTTCTCCTCTAGCAAACCATTATGTATTACAAACTATTATTATGATTGTGAATAACTTGTGAAAAGTTCAATCAATCTGAAAGAAAGTAATCTCTCTTTCCTTTAGTGTTTCCAAAGTATATCTCTTGATTTTGACTTCCATTTTTTTTTTCTGGCTGAGACTTTTCTTTCATTATGATAACAGTTTATGTATTACCTCGATCTGCTATAGCTAGTTTGTACAAACCTTAATTCCTTTAGCAAAACTTAGCATCATTGAGTAGCTGGGATTTCCAGCCTCATCCGTCTACCTCTCCTCTTTTCCTAGTTCTAGCCTACCAATTCACGCGTATGATCTTTTCTAGATCTGAAATTTAGAGTGCTGTTCTCTGAAACTTGATCATGCCTAATTGAATTCGAGTTTGAAGTTTTCTGCTTGAATCCCTTTTGTTTTTTCCATTAAATTAGTTTTTCCTTATTGGACAATTCCTTGTGTATTTTGAGGTTGATACCCCNGTAGAGGGAGACATTTTTTTCTAGTCTACGGAGGCAGAAGTTAGCATCCATTTCCAGCAAAAGTTGAAAGTTGAAAGTAGAATTAGTTAAGACCACCAAGTTAAATTGTGAAATTGTGAAACCAAGAAACTCTTTGCAATTATGAATCTACAAAATGAAAAATCTCACTGAAAAACATTACTCAGAATTATTTGAGCTCAAGAATCATATTATGTACACAAATATTTCTTTCTGAACTCTTCTAACTTGTCATCATAACTCTGAATTCATCGAAGCTGAGGACTCCATCTCCGTTGAGATCAAACCTCCGTATCATAGTTTTGCAGTTGTCAATGGAAGTTGACTCACCGAGTTGACTCAACATCCTCTTCAAGCTCTTAGCAGTAATGTAGCCACTCCCCTCCATTTCATACATTCCAAATGCTCCTATCAACTCGCTCTCCTTATTCCTCTCCTCTTCCATTCCTTCCATTAGCTTCGTAAAATCCTCCAATCCCAACAATCCATCCCCATCGGAATCCGATAGCATCACCGCCATCTCCGCCTCCTCCACCGTCAGTTCGCCTCCTACCGCCTTCACACACTTCCTAAGCTCAGCCGGTGACACTTTTCCATCTCCATTCTCGTCAAAGTATATAAATACCCTCTCTAACTCGCCATTGTCACTACCACTACTACTCACCGAAAGACGACCAGTTGTTGTAGTAGTCGTTGTTAGACCCTCATCTTCCTTCTGCGGAGTTGCCTTTTTGAGCGAAAGCCTCTTCCTTAATCTTGAGAAAACAGACTTATTTTCAGCACTAGGTACAGAAACTGATTCCATAATAGTACACATGCTAACAACCACGTTTAGACTACTCTTTCTTTCAAGATAGTTTGAGATGTAAGTAGAATATGAATGTTAAGGTGTAAAAAGGGTTGAACTTGAAACAAACAAAAAAAAAACTTGGGAAACTTTTTGGTGAAAGCTCTTAAAAAACAACCAAGGATATGAGATATGAAGGAAGAAGAATGGGATATTTATATGGAACATTTAGTTTGTGAGCTGGAGAATGATTGGGAAAGAGGTAGTTAGTGGCAATTACTTAATGGCGGTCCAAAAGTCGGTATTTTCCGTGGGCTTACCACGTATAGAAACTTGTACGGCGTTTTGTTTTCTAGAAAAATACAAAAATAGGTTCTTAGAAGCTTGAAAAGTAAAAAGGCACGCGCTATGAAAGATGACAATGATGTGAGAAATAGCCAAGTTTTGGGATAAGTCTTATCTTGAAGGCAAACAGTCTATATCATCTAATGTCGTTTTTGAATTTGACATGCATATCTTCTTTCCCATGTTTCTTACCTTTTTTTTTTTATAATAAAATTTTGGCGTAAGTGGGGCTGAACTATGGTTTGTGTTTTTGTTCTGTAAATTAAACCTAAAAACTACATTTCGCATATTGTTTCTTGTTTGTTATAGTACTTACCTTTCTACCTTTCGTTTTGGTCTAAGGAGTGAGGTGAAGTAGAAGAATTTTGAACTATGACATGTCTTCTGTGTAACGAAATGTTTAATGGTCTCTGCGTTTAGTTTTCTGCACATTTTTTTCCATCACTCAAGTCTAGTTAGTTTCTATAAAATGCATATATAAAATAGTAGTACTATTGTGCCTTTTATTTTTTGTTGAAAAATTATAGTATTAGTCTATAAATTTAACGTTTTATTTGGCGTATTGATTGTAGGAATTTGGCTTTGGTGGAATGAGTTGAAATATTTCTCAATTTTGATGAGCAATTTCCACTTATTACTATAGGAGAAGAGACACTTGGTGCTTTTAGTTATGGAAAGTGACAACTTTTAACTTTTACGGTTAATTGATCTCAATAATGAAGATACCTTTTAAAATTTGAAAGTTGCTACTTTCCTGAATTTAAATAACTGTAAAAATATGAAAGTTCTCATCAGACATCAGCCTAAACTTGTTTAGGAATTATATGTACTTAGACAAAAATCCTCAAAAAATATTTCGTCATTCTCCCAAGAGAAAATCCTTCATTATTTCTTGGGAAAAGGTCCAAACATGCTCTTGAACTTTGCAAAATTAGTCACTGAAGTGTCCTTATCATCTGACAGAGTTCATTTTAGTTATACTAGAATTCTTTAAATTCCACACATCAAAATAATTCAAACACGTTTATTGTTTAACCTAAAATTTTATTGTCAGGCTAAATCAATTAAATTTATATATTCAGTGACCCCGCAATTGCCCTCTGAACGATCAGAATAAAATAAAGCTTGAAGATAAGTTTCGTACTCAATTAATTTCTCAGGGGCCTTCTAGTCGGGTGGATGTCGGCCGGTTTTTTGATCAGATCCCCCTAAAAGCCGTACGTGCGAGTCTCCCCACATGCGACTCACGTCATTCGAGGTGGCCCAACCCAACATTTATTCGCAAATTCTGTAGTGAAATTGAGAGTGTTAACGCCACAAGCGATAGATTCAATCCAATTAAACTGATTTTTACTAATGAAAATAGATAAACGAGACTTAGTAATTGTAAATGAAGACAATATAATAGCAATGAAGAAAAAGTAAAAGGAATTCTGATTCTCTGAAGAGTGTATACCATTGACTAATTCTTTTCACCCGTTGACTGGTTGTTTCCCCATTTAGTCCCTTTTCTTGCAATGAAGCATCGAGTATATGAATGTGTCACGACCCGGATTTCCCCATTTTTGGGAATTGTGATGATGCATACTCGTGAAAGTTAGGTAAGCTGACAGTTACAGTTTTACCATCATTATTATTAATTCAAACAGGAACAGATAATAACTAAAATAAAATAATTATGAAATGCGGAAATGATATAGCAATCCAACAATTCTAATACATAGCTACCCCAAAGATCTGGTGCCACAATCCATGAACGACTAAGATTTACTACAAATATAAGTCTGAAAAAAGTACAACTGTTCTCGAAATAGAAGAGACAGAAGAAACTAAAACGGGGAAATGAGACTTCAGGCTCTGCGAACACCAGCAGATCTACCTTGGTCTCCCTGGACTGAAGGCAGCAACCTCGAATCTACTCACAAGGTCCGACACCGAAATCTGCATAAAAAGTGCAGTGCAGTATCAGTACAACCAACCCCATGTACTGGTAAGTGTCGAGCCAAACCTCGGCGAAGTAGTGACGAGGCTAGGACACGACAACCATATAAACATGTGAGTTAAATCGTATACGAGCGGAACAATAATAATAGAAAATAACAGATAAAAAAGGGAATGGGGAACATGCTACGGGGAATATCAAATTCTAACAGTAATTCAACAAAGAAGCATAAAGAACACCATATTTGTATCAACGGGGATGATGAAACAGTAACACGTGCACGACATCACCCGTCGTGGTTTTACTCTCGTTCTCACCATAAGAAACAACAGAAACGGTACGATATCACCCTTCGCGCATTAACTCTCATAATCGTGCACGACATCACCCTTCGTACATTAGCTCTCAAATCATGGCACGATATCACCCTTCGTGCATTAACACTTACAATATCGGCACGACATCACCCTTCATGCATTAACACTCACTCACAATATTATGCACGACATCACCCTTCGTGCTTTACACTCCTCCTCACCCAAATAATTGAAACAATAACATCCCGGCAAGGAAATCAACAATAGAAAATAATAACATCCCGGCAAGGGAATCAACTATAACCAAATCTCGTTTCAACAGTTAACTTCACAAATAAGTCTCAACTTGAGTCAACTCAACAATGGTCAATTACCAAGAAAATTTCATAAGTCTTGTTCAACATGGATAATCATCAACTTAAGCATGAATAGTACATAATAAGAATCACAACGGTCATAGTTCAAGACTCACGGGCATGCTCGACACCAACATATAGATACTCGTCACCACACCTATATGTCGTTCTCAACACTAACACGTAGCAAATAAGACAACAACACATATTCCCTTAAGCTAAGGTTAGGACAAACACTTACCTCAATTCCACGGCCCAAATCAAGCCTCAATTACCGCTTACCTCTCGGTTCCACTTTCAATTCACTTGTATCTAGCCATAATTTACTTAATAATATCAATATATGCTAAATAAACCAATTCTAATGCATGAATATAAATTTTTCAATGTTTCCCCAAAAAGTCAAAAACCGACCCCGGGCCCGCTTGGTCAAAACTCGAAGTTCAAACCAAAACCCGACTACCCATTCACCCACGAACCCAAATATGCAATTGGTTTTGAAACCCGACCTCAATTTGAGGTCCAAATCCCCAAATTTCGAAATTCCTAATTTCTACCCAAGAACACCCAATTTCCTGTGAAAAACCCTAGATTTTGAGATGGAATCATGTAAAAAGATGAAATAGATTTAAGAAAAAGAGTTAAGATTCATTTACCTATGATTTGTGGAAGAACTTGCTCTAGGAAAATCGTCCTTTGGAGTTTAGGTTTTGAAATTTTGAAGAATGAAGTGAAAATCCCGTCCAAGACCCCCTTTACTTAGCTGCAGATGTCACATTTGCGACAGGAGCTTCGCAATTGCGAGGACCCTCACATCTCTGCTTCCTTCGCAATTGCAAACTACAATTCTTTGCTTTGCGACCAAAAGATCGCATTTGTGATCACTGNCACATTTGCGATGAAAGGCTCACAAATGCCAAACTTAAGAAGCTCTCAATTGCGAAGCCTGATCTCGCAATTGCAAGATCAGAGGCCTGCAACAATACCAGATGCAAAAGCAGATTTTTCTAAGTCCCAAAACACTCTGTGGCCTATCCAAAACTCTCCCGAACCCGCGGGGCTCCAAATCAAATATGCACACAAGCCTAAAAATATTATACGGACTTGCTCGTGCGATCAAATCGCCAAAATAACATCTTAAACAATGAATTTGACACCGATAGTTCAAAATTTCCATTTTCTCAACCAAGGGCCCGAATTACGTCAAATTACTTTCGTTTCTCACCAAATTTTACAGATAAGGCTTAAATATTATAACGGACCTGTACTAGGCTCCGGAACCAAAATACAGGCCCGATACCATCAAGTTCCAACACTATTCAATTTTTAAAAATCTTTATATTTTCCAGCAAACAATTTTCTTTAAAAATTCTTTTCTCGGGCTAGGGACCTCGGAATTCGATTCCGGACATATGTCCAAGTCTTATCCGTTTACCAAAAATATTGACCGAAGTCAATTTTACTAATTTTAAAGGCCAAATTCAATACTTTTCTTAAATTTCACGTAAAAGCTTTCCGAAAATGCGTTCAAACTGCGTACGCAAATCAAAAAAAGAGGATTTCAAGGCCTCGAAATCCGAATTCGGATTCTAAAATACAAGATGGCCCTTTGGTCATCACAAAATGATAGGTACGTAAGATATGATGTAACGTAATGTAATGATAGGGGTAGCAGCTTCATGTAAAGGTTCATAGACAGTTTGATGTTTGCTGTGTGCCATGAGGTCATAACGTGTCTATATTTCTAATTGTTGATTAACAGAAAACTGTTTTGGTGATTGGACCAACAATATTGATTTTAATAATTTACATCCAACTAGATGGAGTTTCATAGCCTATTTGGCCAAGTTTATTTTTGGTCGAATTTTTTTTTTTTTTTGTCAAAAGCATTTTTGGCAAAAATTGAGGTGTTTGACCAAGTTTATGGAAAGAAAAAAAGTACTTTTGAGGAGAAGCAGAAGCAGAAAAAAGTAACTTCTCTTCAAAAACACTTTTTTGAGAAGCACTTTTGAAAAAAACACTTAGAAGCAGTTTTTTAAAGTTTGACCAAACACTAATTGCTACTCAGAAGTGCTTTTCAAATTAATTAGCCAGACACAAACTGCTTCTCACCAAAAGTACTTTTGAGAAAAACACTTTTGAAAAAAACACTTCTCAAAATAAGCTGATTTTTGCAGCTTGGCCAAACGGTATCGGTATTCCTTTTCTTTCTAAAGTTTGACGGAGATCGTACTATCATGATAATATTAATGAGAATAG